TTTGAATATGTTCCATTGGTTCTCAGGTCTGTTCCTCCCCCCCGCCCCCAGTACCATGTTGATTTTACCATAGTACCTTTGGAGTATAATTTCAACTCAGGGATTGTGATGCCTCCCTCTTTTCCTTTGTTGGTTAGGGTTGCCTTTTGTATTCTAGGTCTCTTTTGGTCCAGATGAACATTAGGTATATTTTCTTTAGATATGTGAGGTATGCTAATGGTATTTTGATTGGCATTGCATTAAATCTGTATAACAGTTTGGTATTATGGCCATTTTCACAATGTTAGTTCTTCCTATCCTTGAGCAAGGAATATTTTTCTATTTTCTCAAATCCTCTTCAATCACTTTTTTTCAGAGTGCTACAATTTTCAGTGTACAACTCTTTCACTTTCTTTGTTAGATTAATTCCTAAGCATTTCATTTTTGGGGTGCTATTGTGAAGGTTGTGGTTTCCCTAACTTTTTCTCAGTGAGTTTGTTGTTTGTACACAGGAATGGCATTGAGTTTTACACTTGATTGTAGCCAAAAGGCTGAGAAGCAATGCTATTAATGTTTGAGTACTGACTTTGTGTCCTGCTGTGCTACTGAAATTGGTTATTAAATCTAGAAGTCTTTTGATGGAGTTTTTGATGTCTTCTATGTAGAATATCATATCATCTGCCAATAGCGATAATTCCACTTCTTTGTTTTCCATCCTTATTCTTTTTATTTCTTTGTGTTGTTTTAATTGTTCTGGCTAATGTTTATAAAACAGTATTTAATAGGAGTGGTGATAGTGGATATTCTTGTCTTGTTCCTGATATTAGAGTGAAAGCTTTCAGTTTTTGTCCATTTAGTATTATGTTGGCTATTGGTGTGTCATAGATGGCTTTTATCAGATTGAGGTAAAGACTATATATTCTGATTTTCTGTAAAACTTTTTTTTATCATGAATATTATACTTCATCAAAAACTTTATCTGAATGTACTGAAATGATCATGTGATTTTTGTCTTTGGCTCTTAATATGGTGTTTTACATTTATTGATTTGCATATATTTAACCATCCCTGCATTCTTGGAATGAATCTTACTTGGTCATGCATATAATCTTCTTGATGATTTTCTGCATTCTGTTTGCTAGTATTTTATTGAGGATTCTTGTGTCTATGTTCATTAATGAAAATGGCCTATAGTTCTCTTTTTTGGTTGGGTCCTTCTCTGGTTTTGGTATCAGGGTAATACTTGTCTCCAGGAATGAGTTAGGAAGAATTGCTTCCCTTTAAATTTCATTAAAGAGTTTGAGTAGTACTGGTGTTAAATCTTCTCTAAAGTTCTTGTAGAATTCATCTGTGAATCCATCAGGACTTGTGCTTTTCTTTGTTGGTAAGTTGTTACTTATGTCTTTAGTTTTACTGATGTTGGATTATTCAGAATTTTTATATCTTCTTGATTATGCTTTGTTAATTCATGTTTCTAGGAATCTATCCATTTCTTTTGTGTTTGCTTCCTATGCAAGTAGAAATTTTTGAAGTAGGTATTGATGATATTCTAAACTTCTATAGGATGTATAGTGATTATACTTTTTCATTCCTTATTGCCTGAATTTGAGTTTTTTCTTTCTTTTTTTGATAAAGTTTGCTAGGAGTTTATCAATTTTATTTTTCAAAGAACCAATTCTTCAGTTCATTGATGCTGTGTATTGTTTTCTTAGTCTCAATTACATTAATTTCTGCTCTGATCTTTATAATTTCCTCCCCTCTTTGGGGTTTGGGTTTGACTTGCTCTTCTTTTTCTAGAGATACAGCATTAGGTTGCTTATTTGTGCTTATTCTGCTTTCCTGATGTGAGAAGTCACTACTAGAAATTTCCCTCTGAGGACTGCTTTCATTGTGTCCCACAGGTTCTGGGAAGTTGTATTTGCATTTTAATTTGGTTGTAGATATTATTTAATTTCTTCTTTGATTTCATCTGTGAACCACTGTTTGTTCAGAGGGGTATTGTTTAATTCCATGTGTTTATGGAGTTTTTGTCATTTCTTTTATCATTAATTTCCACTTTTATTGCAGTATTGTCAGAAAATACAAATGGGATAATTTTATTTCTTTTATATTTACTTAAGCATGTTCTACATGGTAGCATAAGGTCCATTTTAGAGAATGTCCCATGTGCACCTAAAAAGAATGTGTTATGTTGAGCTGTGGGGGACTCAGGTCAACAACTTCTGACACTGCCAGTCTAGTGGAAGACCCAATACTATTATGGACTACTGGACTCTTTTAGAATATTTTGCTGAGTTTACACACCTATAATATTCAAATAACGGAACTTAACAAAAAAGGGGATACAGATGAATTTCCATTTTGTATCTGTGTATTCAAAATGGTTAGGATAGATATATAGTTACATTCTCTTAATGAATAGAGGGATTTGTTCTAATAGTGTTTGTAAATAGGATATCATGTCTGCATCTTGTACAGCAAATAACCACTAGGAAGAGAGTATGCAATGTGTTAATTATTGAAACTGTCATACCAATTTGAGTTGAAACTGTCTCATTGCTATTTGTCTCTCAATAAAATTGTGAAAAAAATGAATAAAAAATAAAGGACACAGTACTAGAAAAGACAAAAAAAAAAGAACATGTATTCTGTCCTTCTTGGGTGGGACACTCTGTAACGGTCTATTAAGTCATTTGTTAACATGTTTGAGTTAGTTCTGCTATTTCTTTGCTATTTTTTGTCTAGCCGATCTATCTTTTTGCAATAATGTGATGTTAAAGGTCCCCCATTACAATTGTGTTATTGCTTATTTGATTTTTCATGTCTATTAATATTTGTCTTATATAGTATTTGGTGCATATATACTTATGATTATCTCTTCCTTTTGCAGTTTTCTCCTATCAAGTATGTAGTAACCTTCTTTATCTCTTCTGATTATTCTTGATTTGAACCTCACATTATCTGCAAATAGAATAAGCACCCCTCCTGTTGTTTCTTCATGTTGTTTCCTTCTGTTGTTCTTGGAATTGTGGTCATTTTTATTTCATTATAATGTATCTTTTAGTGTTGGTTTGGTAGTCATGAATTCTTCAGTTGTTCTTTGTTGTGGAAGTATCTTATTTCTCTATTAATTTTGAAAGATAGTTTTTCAGGGTACATCAGTCTGGGTTGGAAATTTGTTTTCTCTCAGGACTTGAAATACTTTATTTCAAGCTCTTTTTTGTTTTTTTGTTTTGGCAGAACTGGGTATTGAACTCCTCGGGCCCTTGAGCTGGCCAGGGAAGCACTTATTCTACTGAGCCGTCTCCCCAGCCCTCAAGCTCTACTTGACTTGATGGTTTGTGTTGACAAGTTTGCCATGATTCTGATGGGTTTTCCTTATGGATGATCTGTTTCTTTGCTCAAACAGCTTTTAATAGTCTGTTCTCATGCTGAATTTGTGGAACTTTGATTATTATACATGGGTGTAGATGTATTTTGGTGTGGATAATTGGAGTTTTGTATGCTTCACTTAACTTGATGTCAGATTCTTTCCCATGTTTGGGAAATTTTCTGCAATTACTTCTGCAAATGGTCTTTTTATGTCATTTATATTGACTACCTTTTTGTTGACACCTAATAGTTTATGTCGTTTTTCTTTGCATCATCTTACAGCTGTTGAATTATTTTCTAGTTCCTTATTATTTTTAAGAGATCTTCTTTTCATGATTGCTAGCTGCCATCTTGCGTTTAAGATCTGAAAGTTTGTCTTCATTTTCGTTCAAACAGTTTTTCTGTCTTCCAATGGAAATTTTAATTTCCTGGATATCTTTTTGAATCTGTTTCATGCATGTGAATTCTTTCCTATATTGTTCAAAGTTTCTATCATTTCCTATACTCCTCTATTTTAAAAATTTATATCTCCTTCAGACATGCTGAGCAATTCTTTCATTATGGTTGCCATTGCTTTCTTTTTTCTCCCCTAGAGATTATTTCTGATCTGATTTCCTTCATAGACTCCTAGAAGTGTTTTTTTTAAAAAACTTCAGTTTTTATCATTTCAGAAACTTCAGGTATGATTTCCAATTTCTTCTATGTTGATGTCTCCTGGACTCATTCTGGATGGGCTGCAGGTCTTAGATGGCATTTCCTTTGTCATGACATTTTCTATTTCAAAAAAATCTATAATTTTGTATTCTGTGATGACCCGTGTGACTTTTGGTGGTAGGTAGCTTATCACTAGTATCAAGGCCTCTCTAAGAAGAGTCTGTTCTTCCAGGATATCTTCTATGTGTAAGACATTCTTAATTTGTGTCTGTCCCAAGATCCTACCTTCCCAATTAATTGAGAGTGGAATGTGAGCTTCTGTTTGGCTCTGTCCCCAGTCATTTGATGTACAGCTGTGATGAGGTTATTACTCCGAGCTTCCCAATGTTGTTACCTAAGGGGAAACAACTGATTACTGCAGATGTGACATCCTAGCTACAGTAGTACAACTAGTAATAATGATAGCATCAAGCACAGTTTTGAAACTGACAAACTGTTAGCTATTAATTTTGTACTTTAGACCGTAGGAGCAAAGTCTATAGTTATATAATAGCACCAATCATAAATGATGAGTTGAAATGCAAAGTGTGCCCCTTGTTTGAGAGGATTTACCCTGGGCTTCTCCACAGTAGCTGGCTCCTGTGCTCCAGGCACTTCCTGCACTGGCTGCTCTGTGCTGTAGGGGGTTGGGCAGAGCCTGGGTTCCTCTGGACAGAGGCTCCTGTGATCACAGAAGGGTAGTGGACAGCGTCTCTCTCTTCTCATGTGGCAGAGTGGGATTTACCAAGGCTCCCTAAATGATGGGGGAGGGGAGCGCAGTAGGTGGGGTCTCTCTCCTCCCAAATATTGTGTATCTTAATAAAAATTTCTGTCTTTCTAAATTCCTAAATAACCAATAAACATGCTTTGCAAAATACCAGAACGAGTGCTTGCTTCAGTAGCATATATACTAAAATTGGAATGGTACAGAGAAGATCAGCACGGCCCCTATGTAAAGATGACACACAAATTTGTGAAGCATTCCATATTTGTGTATAAAAAGTAAAGCTATATGAATATGCTGAGCTGTAAAAGGCTCAGGCCAACAACTCGGACAATTGCCAGTTGTGCTGGTAACTACTATTACGGACTATATTGGGCTATTTTGCTGAATTCACATACCCACAATCTTTGGACTGGCATCAAGTGTGAAAAGGTCCTTTAAAGACTTCTCCAAATGCAGCCTCTCTAACAGCAACGGAACACCCATCTCTGACAAAACAAAGAAAAGGGATATAAATAAAGGACCATTTTGTTGTGAAAAAACCCATATATATATAGAAGATAGTTAGGACAGATATACAGCTACTTTCTCTTAGTTTAATGAGAAGAAAAGTTTGTACTAATACTGTTTAGACAAGATCTCATGTCTACATCTTGTCCTCTGAATAACTACTCTAAGACAACAATATGCAATGTACTAATTATTGTAACTGT